TGAATGTCACGAGCTCAAGCTAAATCTTATGTATCCTTAATAGGTGATATTTTGCAACAAAGATGTAAAGCCTGATATGCTGTCGACTGTACTAAGTTCAAACGTTGTAAACTGTGTGTTAATAATTAACCCGCCAATTTTTGCCACCCTGTATTAAGACGAGGCCCGAGGCGTGTCTTTGTACGCTTTTGTCAAGCGTAATTAAGGATTAGCTACTTTGTGTTAGCTTTACTGAAGCCGTTTTGATGTCATATAGAATAGAACCCAAAATAATGTAACAGGTAAGTTTCAAACCTGATTTTTCAGCTGAAAAATTGACTGTCTTTGATGGGACTCGAACCCACGACCTAGCACTTTTCGAGAGACTACTGATGTTACTGACTACTCTGACCAATACTGAAAGAATCTACGTTTGAGATAAAGTATAAGAGTATAAGCATATCTACTTATGAGAGATTTTTAAGTAAGTACTTATCTGTAAATACATTTTATTTGAAATCCATAAATAGTGAACTACTTAATGTAACATAAATATTGTAAATAATGTAGGTTGAGACCCAGGAAAACTTATACTTATCTCGGTTTTTTAAGCCCCACGTGTACTAAAAACTGTGACAGGCCGAAATTCTCGCGGGCGAAGCTACGGGCCAAAGCTAGTTTATTATAATGATGTACGCTTAAAGTTCACAAATTGGGGTCTCGACCTTGTCGTTTATCAGACCCTAATTAATAAATGGGGTAAACTTAGTCCCTTCGAGTTAAATATGCATGCGACTTGTCGAAATACCAAAACAATTCGACTTAGGTGCCATAAACTACTTAAATAACAATAGATATTACAATAATGTTGTCGGAAAATTGCAAGAATTTCTTTTTCTAATGTTTATTGAAAACTAACGTTTTTTATCAAACTAATGCTTAAAAAGTAGGTTCGATTATCCAGTAATCCTTAACCCACTAAACTCGACTGTGTTGTATGAACACACAAGACAGTGTTTGTTTGTAATCGAAATCCAAATTCGCATGGATCGGTTTTGCGGGACACTGCAAATGGAATGTTGTGTGAATGTTATATTAAAACACATATACTTACTAAACAGGATACTGCAAAAACGGGATGTTTCTGCGGGAAAAAGCCCTCATAATCTATGAATAGTGCTTCATGTCTAACTATATTATAAACTGATTTTGATGAAGTTTTTTTTATGCATGACAAGGCAGGTATTTGACTGCAATCGCACCTGGTGTTAAGTGAGATGCTGTCTAGGATGGTACATATCTGCCCTGTAAGTGCCTATTCACTCTCGCCTTGAAAATACCGAAATGTTCAAATCGTGCAAAATTTTGTGCAAAAGAAAGTTGTTTGTACTACAAACCTACGATTTAGTAACATTTCTTAAGTAAATCCTATTGTAATAATAAACTGCAGACATCGTAACAGTTAACTCAAGGGTAATGATAACTTAAAACAATTAACCCACAATGACACGCCTTCATAGGCACAGATTGGGGTCCGTGTACTTTGTCAAATGCCAGTTAATGAAGTACAGTCAGCATCAAAAGTAGATTTCATCAAACTGGGTGCGCTTCGAGGAATACTTCGCTTAAGCAATAGAATGTGGCATCGCCAGAAATGACGATCCAGTGCATTGTCTAGGAAAATTATTGCAGTTATTAAACACCTTAAAAATCAAAAACATTTCATTGATTGCTTAAAATTAGATCTGAAATCTGAAACCGAAAACATGAAAAATATTGTGACATATAATAATATCACACTTTTGGGTTCTTGTTTCCCCTTAGTAAAAAAGTTATGAAAATATTTTGACAACGTTTTTAACTGCAGCAATACATTTTTAAAGAAAAAAACATGTTTAAACACCTTTTTTTCTTAAAATCAATCTAACAGCAGAAAGGATTTATAAGTGCATGCATCAACTTTTGTTGCTGACTGTACCTACCTCCTTGACAAACTGACTTAGCGTGCCCCCGGGCGTTGTCTACTTAGATTATACTGGAACTATTCCATTGCAGTTGTGTGTTTAGTGGCAAGACGGGATCTTGAGACCCCTTGTGTGTACAACTTCAATATTAATTTGGTGTATAATTTAACTAAATTATGAAATGATCTTAAGCTTCACAGTGGTTGATTTCAATATAATTTTAGGTTCACATGTATCAATTCATGCTGTTTGTTTCCTTAATAAAGAAAAATAAAATAAATAAAAAATAATTATAACTATTAGAAAAGATCAAGACTTAATATTATCCTACTTGGTAAAGAATAGCAGATTAAATTAATCTTTAGTAATTTTAAGGACTTATAAGGTGTTAGTGTTTTCAGAAAGTTACTCGTACTTAATTTGAATTCATGTGAAAAACACATAAAAAATTAATTTAACTCAAACCGATATAAGTTAGTCGACATGATACCAAAGCTTTTAAGCATGAATTTTCATCACTGTTTATTTTAGGCTTTAGGTCTTTTAGAAGTACTTAAACTAATTATATCTGGCATTTCTAAAATAAATGATTTTTTGTGAAATTAGTCGTCTGATAATGTTCTGTAATGCAAAGTTTTAAAATATCAATGGAAGAAAAAATTCACCAGGCAGCGGATCGAATGCTTGCGTGCCGTTTTTATCTATTAGATAAAAGCCTACACAATTTCAAGAATTCGAATACGTTTGCTACTATCACAGATACAATCTTTACAGCCTCAAGTAGTGAAAAAAACATTAATGTACCTAATTAAAACTCATTTACTTAGTATTCATTGACTAGATGGTATCTATTGAATAGGATTGTTCCAGTTCTATTAAACCCTCGTAGGTATACTTCTAACGCCATCTGTTGACTGCGCGCCGTAAACTTTTATAATAAGAACCAAGCCATTGCTTGTCGTTTTTAATTATTTACCATGCTTAAATTAAAAGTAAAAAATATTAAAATATTTTATTCATGAGTCATCAATCACTCAGCAAGAAAAAACGCGAAAAACTGTACCTACGCGTTTCTTGAAGCTACCGTAATAGGTCTTGTTATTCAGCCAATTAAAGGTGTTTATACATACAGTTTATAAACAAAAAGTTTTCATTTGCTGGGACCATCACTCATCACAACATCTGTATCATTTAAAAAGAAAAAATCCTAAAAAAAACTACCACCTTTAGTAATGACACGACGAAATTAACGTTAACGTAAACGAATCCAAAACCTCCATCAATCGACCGACTTGACACGGTGTAATCTATCCTTAAACTAAGCAATTAAATATACAAATGGTTCCTTAAATCCTGTGTAACGTTTTGTCAAACAACATGTCATTAGCACCGGAAAAAAATTGCAGATCCTTGGTAAAGTAGGGTTGGTAACGTAGTTAATTAATACTGGAAAATAATTTTCATTTAGCCCTAATATTATTTATGAAATTATAATTCGACTTCATTTGAGTTTTTTCTTCAGAAATTCCTGCGACTATTAAAGGTGGATATTAATATTGGCGTCCACCCATAAGGTGGACCGATGACCTCATAAAGATAGCAGGAAGGCGCTGGATGCAGACCGCTACCAAACGGGCAATATGGAAATCATTGGAGGAGGCCTATTGTTCAACAGTGGGTGAAAAGATTATGATAATGACTTTTAAAGACAACTGGTTCTGAGCACTTTAAACTTTGGCTTACACGGTTGTGCTCAGAAATTCCTCGCCGTCAAGCCAATTTAATTACTATTTCCTATTTAACGACAGCCCTATGTGACCATTATGTCAGCCATTTTTTACGGCACTCCAACCTGGGAAAATGTTACAAATTAGCATTTTGGACGTCGCCCTGTTATTAAATCGTAACAGGTCTAACAATTAGTGTGATATTCTCACGGCATGGACAGACGACTTGGATAATTACAGTTCTTGGTTTGAGGAAGATTTTTTTGAGTTCGGCCCGAGGTCAATGTGGTCAACTGGTCCCAAGTGCGCATTCCTTTGTCGATTTTAAGTGAAGTAACTAGCGATATGACAAAAAATCGTATGGGTGATACAAACTTTTGATACTGTAATCTTAAATGCTTCTTGAAAACTTTTTCAGACGATTTATCTGTCTTAATACATTTTGAGAAAAATTTTGTCGGTCTTTTCCTATCACGTGGGATGTGACAACTGAGGATTAATCCCTAATGTCACTATACTAGCTGCAACAGTTGTCTTACATTAAAATCAATGACTACACTCAATTTGCTTCTTTTAAAACTAATCTGTTTGCTAAATATGTTAGTTACCTATACCTACTTACTAATTCTTTCTTGAATTCTGCTCCTATTTTACTTAAATTAGTTTTTGTTAGGCACTAAAAACTTTTTCTGCATACTTTTTCTTATTGGCTTTTATAATAAGTTTAATCTATTGCTATCAATAGTTAATCCCCGATCACAGCCTCAAATTAAATCGTTGAATACCAAATCATTTCTCCATAATATTATCATTCAGTAATAAATTTGAATAATCAAAAAGCTACTGTTTGATCTCATTTAGTATTCATCAAACTCGACTACTCTATTACTATTCATAATAACCAATTGATATCGCATATTTTATTAAGAATTCAATATTTAAAAAGCTCAGTTGATCTGCCACTAAATTTAAAACTGTTACTTTATGAGATGAAATATTTATAATTTACGACCAAAATATAATCGGCTATGTTACTATTTTAATTACACCAATTCTGAGGTTATTAAATTTTGAGAAAGGTTATTAGCATCGTAAAGAAGATTAAATGTTTTTTGTTAATAACAAAGCCGAAATAAGTTATTATGCTGCGAAGAATGTTGTCTATGTTATAATTACGGGCAGTCAGATGCATGTTAGTTTCCGTCCCAATGCCTCCCCACAAAGCGTCGTAAAGTGGGCTTTGTTAACAACAAGCCATAACCAGATTATCTCCGATTCGGCACGACTCACCGAGACTCCACAGGTAACAAAAACAATTGTACATTTTCCTCAATGAGTTTATTGCGCCAGAACAATAAATGAAGCTGATCATTATAACGTTTACTTTCAACATCGATTACGAATACTCTACACGATACCATATCGTACGCAAGTCCATTAATATTTATAATATTCGAATCCGTATTGCACATCGCGTCACAAAAGACTCGTCACCAAGCGGACTATCCCTATAACTTACAGTTCGTGGGATCGATTATTACCATATATTTGTCTAAATATCACAAGAAAATACAAAACGAAATACGAAATAGAATTAACACAATTAAAATTATTAACAATTAAATAATGTACAGTCTATCGCGCGCCATTAGCTTCGGGAAGTGAGGTATCACCAGGACGGGCGGGCGCCGGGGCGGCCCCGTCACGACACCGGCACGTGGTGCTGGTACAGCTGCTCTTGGCGCTCACACAGCGAAGTCATTTTCTTGAAGGACTCGGAGGTCTCCCGAAAAAGCAGTTTGGCGTCATCCCGGGGCCTCCCGTGAGCTGCGTCCAGTCTGCCCGGCGAAATAACCGGCGGCGAGGACGCCGACAGCGGCGACAACGACTCTCGGGCTGACTGCGCCCCAGCGGGCGCCCCGTACGGGCCCCCACCGGCCTGCGGGACCCCGTTACCCATCAGAAAAGGGGCCGGAAAAAACCCCCGGTCTCCAAACTGGGGAAACAACCCCGCCTGCAGCGCGCTCAAGTTACGACTGTAAAACTTCATCGTCTCTGTAACGTAACTCGGCAGCTGTGCCGCTTCCTCGTTTCCATATCTCAAACTTTCCAGCGTCGATGCCAGTCCTTTTATATCTGCGTAAAGCTTGTTTAACAGTTCCGTGTTGACCTCCAATCCCGGTCTCTGCTCCCGGGTGTCCGGTGAGCCCGTGGACAACAGTCGCCGGTGTAAGTCGACATTGGAGCTGTGCCTGTCTCGACTCCGCCGCGAGGGGAAGGCGGCGTCGCAGCCGTTCACGTCGCACGGGTGAAGTAGCTTCAAGTGATCGTTTCTATAGTGCATGCGCAGCGTGAAGTGGTTTTGAAATACTTTCCTGCATGCGGTGCAGCGATCGGGGTTCTCGTCATCTATGGGGATGTCGAGATCGTTGATATCAGTTCGGTCGTCGGTCTTGTCGCTGCTGGCGGAGGGCGAGCGCGCTCGGGCCAGGCGCTCCTCCATCGCGTGCAGGTCGCTCCCGCTGTCGCTCGGCGTGTACAGGTCCGAGCGCAGCCGCAGCCCCTCGCGCACCACGCTCGGTGCACTCGACTCGTCATCAGAATCACTTTCAGCCTTCACACGCGTCACCGATTCCGAGTCCACAGTTGCTTCCTCGCCGTTCTGAAATGGCTCCCACTTTTCCGGTTTCTGTTTTTTCAGTGACAACGGCTCGTCGTCGGCGCGACTCGAGCCGGGCGTCGACAAGTTTCTAAACAGATCACCGTGATACTCTTCATCGGATACACTGTATTCGTTGTTTTGAGAACACCGGGTGGGATTGCCACTTTTTCGCTTGCGTTTGTTGGGAACTAGAGACGACTTATCGTCGGTCGCGGTGGGGTCGCTACGGGCGCCGGCCTCGGGCTGGGTCGCGGCGGGTTTGGCATCAATCTTATTTTTATTTACAGTCAAATCTTCAGGCTCGTCGTCGTAATTTAGTCTTTCGGTCACCGGTGATTCGGTTCGGTCCTCACATTTTTCCTTCTCATCATCGGAAACGTCATAATTATTTTCACTACAATTAATCGAGTCCTCGTCGAGAGCGGCGGAAGGTTTAACGAGATCTAACGCGCCGCGGGACGGCTCCTCGGGCGGAGGGATTTTTCTGTACATCTTTTCTATTTCACTGAAATTGCGGAGGTCGTCGAGAGGCACTCGCGGCGGCAGCGGGGCGGGCCCGGGCGGCGCGAGCGGCGGCGGCAGGCGCGCGGCCAGCTCGGGCGGCAGCAGCGCCGGCGGCGGCAGCGGCAGCCGCGCCAGCGCCGGCAGCAGCGGGAACGGCTGCGCCGAGCGCCCGTCGTGCGCCGAGATCTTGCGCCTCACGTGCGGCGAATGCAACTTCGGATTAGGGTTAGCACTGTGTCTGTTTCTGGACCGGCGCGAACTGAACATCATGGTGCACCCTTCCACAGTACACTTGTGCATCTCCCGCAGGTGCACCGCCGAGAAGTGGATCTTCAGCGCGCCCTTGTCGCAGAAGGTCTTGAGGCAGACGTTGCATTGCACCCTCTTCTTCCCCGTGGCGGGGTTGACGAACTGGACGCCGAGGCCGAGCGGCCAGGGCGCCGGCGGGGGCTCGCGGCGCTCGGAGTACTCGGGCGAGCGGCGCTCGTCGCTCCTGTCGTCGTCCCGGCCGCTGAAGCTGGCGCCGAGCTTCCTGAAGTCGAACTGGGGCGCGGGCTGGCAGACGCGCGGCATCATGAAATAGTCCAATCCGGCCGGCAAGCCGGGAACCGCACCGTACTCTTTGCCTTCCATCACGTCACTGTCATACCGCGTAGTGCGAAGCGGGTAGCGCGCGACGCGGCCGCTTTGCGACTGAGGACGTGCGACACAGGTGACCGCGCGCGGGCGGCGCGCGACAAAGGCCAGGGGGGCGCGCGGGGCGCGGGCGCGGCAGGTGGGAGGAGCGAGCGCTGGGCGGAGCGGATCGATGCGCAGTGGGGACAAGCGACATCGCTCGGGCCGGCCACTGTAAACACAAGACTACGCACGTTACGTAAGGCGCTACACGCTACATACGTACAAGTGCACATGCCTACGTGACCGCAGCTCGCTAGATCCACTCGATCCCGTTAATCCGAGCTGGGTTGAACCGCGTAGTTGCAAAACTTTAAGCGCATTGCTGATTTCATCTGGGGGCACGGCAGTGCCCCCACCAAGTCGAGCAAAAAAGCGGCACGGCCGTACCATCCTTTTCTCGAAGCAATTCAGGCCATTTTCGACCGCCTGTAACTTCGTTGTGGATAAAACTAGAAGGCTGAATTTTCATTAGCTATGCAGGAATTGTAAAGACACGGTATATTTAAAATTTCATTCAATTTGAACCAGTAGTTTAAGAATTATAACGGGTCAAAGTTACTTAATTTTGTCACTCACTGACTCACTGACTGACTCACTGACTGACTCACCGATCATCAAAACTCTAAGGCACTTCTAGCAGACCTAGAAGCTTCAAATTTGGAATATAAGTAGTGTTTGGTGTATGAATCAAGGAAAAACTAAAATATTTGGGGGCACGGTAGTGCAACCGCCAAGTCGAGTAAAATTTTTCANCCGCATTAGCTAGCTTAGACGCAGTTAGGTACGAGGATGCGGGCAAACACACGAAACGTTTGCTTTTGTAAAGTAGATCCCATCAAAAACAATACTTGTCAAAAAAACCAAGTCTCGCAACTCAGTTGTTCTACGGTAAAAAGTTGTGAGATCCATGTAATACCAAGTCCAGGCCAGGAAATCTTTAACGTTTTACATAAAATATTGACTTGGCCATCGCATGAAAACACGTGTAAATTAAATTATTTAGTGCGATGGCCAAGTCAATATATTTATGTAAAACGTTAAAGATTTCCTGGCCTGGACTTGGTATTACATGGATCTCACAACTTTTTACCGTAGAACAACTGAGTTGCGAGACTTGGTTTTTTTGACAAGTATTGTTTTTGATGGGATTTACTTTACAAAAGCAAACGTTTCGTGTGTTTGCCCGCATCCTCGTACCTAACTGCGTCTAAGCTAGCTAATGCGGGTTTAGTTTGCTTCAGTATTTAAACACAACTATTATTATTATATATTGGGTACATTTCGTCGTAATTTGCTCAACATTTTTTTTTTTTTTTTTTTTTTTCCTTAAAGTTCAGATGTTATTTTTAAACTAACTTTTAAACCTACTAATTACTATATCATATTAATGTTAGTCTAAATTAAAATCTGTTACTTAAAAACCGCTTTATAAGTATTTAAGATTCAGCGTAATTTTATTCTGAGATCATACAAATGTAAAAGCATGTAATAAACAAATACCTACAAAGTTTTTATTTCAGCAAGTAAATATAAATCAGACTACGTTAACAAGTTTTAGCATACATAAAATTAACATTCATTAATGAAACATTAAATAAAAATAAATTAAACATAAACATTAATTTATTTGCTCGCCTCACCACAACACAACTTCAAGCTACTACTAACGCCATCTATTGAGCTGTTAAGGAACTAAAAATAGAAGAGCGTGATTTACCGAAGTCGATTTTGATCGAAGCGCGTAATTACAGAGTTTATTTTTAGAAAATGAAATAGTTCATTCATAAAAGGTCTGATAATTAGTATGGTTTAATTTACATCATAATTTTGCTTACCTACTTACAACTGGGAAATTCATAAACTAACTTTTTCTTATAAGAATCGTATCAGAATAGGAAAAACGATGAAAATGGGTCTTACCAAAATCCAACTTTGTACTTTTTTATGTAATTTTACAGTAAATAAACCCAAACTTCATGATGGTTCAATGTTGGGTTGGGAGCATGCACTTACAAACTTTCAGCTTGTATCATAATAAATAACGATAGTCTATCTACATTCTTACTGTCTCTTATTTCTTGGCAGTTTAAAGAAAACCTTACTTCAATACTTAGGCTGGGTTGCACCATCTAACTTTGACTTTAACAAACGTCAAAAATATGTCAAACTCCATACAAAAAACACCGGTTACCGTTATAGTTACAGTCATTAAGGTGGTGCAACTCACCCTTAGTCATAACAACTCCCATACCTTTTAAACTACAGTCCTTAACTCATCAAAGCGAAAGATTCTGCTATTAAAAACCTCTAACCACCATCACTCCACAAAGCGAGTGTAGGTTGTAAAACTGTATTATTTTAATCAGACCTATACTGGCAACATTTCATCCAAATTGTTGCTATATCAAACAAACGCGCGGTTCAAAGAGATTTTACTGCGGATCTGCCATTACAGAGTTTACACTAAAAATAATTTACTTCTATCCGATGTTTTTAAGTGGATTCGTTTTGTTTGTGCCAGTGCGATGTCGGAAGGAATAATGAAAAATAAAAGAGGGTAATTAAAACGTCAAATAAGTATGGTATTGAATTTTTATCTATGCTCGAATTTCAAATGCGAAATTAACTTTAGATTGATACGTTTTTGTTTTACTTAATCTGTTTTTTTATGTGACAGGAGGAAACGAGCAGACGGATCACCTGATGGTAAGTGATTACCGTCGCCCATAGACACCCGCAGACCCAAGGGCGTTACAGGTGCGTTACCGGCCTTTAAGGGTGCTGTGCTGCAGAAGCTTTTTGATGTTTAAAGTTTTTGTTTAAAGACGGACTTCTGGTTCAGGATAAGAAAGGCTTAACTTGAAGAGTACCTAATGAAAGTCTGTTTAAAGAACTAGTCATACAAAACTTGTACTATATGGGTACTAGACAACGGATATACTTAAACACTTAAATACTCTTTTTTTGTACTGTGTGCCTACCATGAGTTTACGTTAGGTGAGCTCGCTAGCGAATACGTCAAAAAATTCTATGAAGATTTTATTTCTTGAAAGTAGCCGCTAGGGGCGCTGCATAATATGTCATACATTTAAATGTCATTTTTTTACGCAGTCGCTAGCGAGCACACCTAACGTAAACTCATGGTAGGCACACTGTTATCACTTGCGAATTACAATGAATGTACTTAAGTACCTACGTATACTGGTCAAAAGTCTAAAATTAGTATCAAGTACATAACATAAAATACAATTTTCTCCAAACTAATAAGACCTCTCCCGACTTGTTTAGTCTGTGCCAGTTGAAATTAGCACAAAGTTAATTTAAACACACAGTAACCACTTTATTTGTACTGAATAATAACATACAGCACTGCAAATATATCGCTTTAGGAATTTTTGCGAGGTTTTTCACATTAAAAAGTTTGGCAAGTAATTTATTTGAAAGCTTGTTTATATTTTCACTAAGTCCTGTGACTTCGTTCGTTCGTATTGATTGTCATCAACAGTCCAGCTAATCAAAACCTCTCGCTTGTATTGGACTATGCAGAGAAGATGGGTCAAGATAATTACTGAATCTTCATTAGTATTAAAATAACATTAATGTTGTAGGCACTTTAACCTAAATTTTGTCACCTCATGCGTCTCTAAGGACTAACTCTGAATGGAGATTCCAACTCTATCACAAAATCAAAAAAAAAGATCTCTTAAAAAATGTCAAACATTTTCCATTTTCCACTGAACATTTAAATCAAAAACCGAATCGAAATAGGTGATATTTTGCTAAAAAAATATCTGACTTCACTGGCTTCTCACTCTGGCCAATTTTTCCAGTAGGCATTTAATTAAAAAACTTACGAATACCTGTTCTATCTGCCACTTTTACTCTTTGCCGTCCGCAAACGGCGTATTCTCACTCGGCATCTGTCAAACGGTGTTTTCGATTCTGCTGTATGTCGTCTCGCACCCAATATCCGATCTCGTGGAAACAGTTACAATACCGGACTATCGCCCCTCTGCGGATAAACACAGAGCTCTTTAGCGCGTGCCACAAATATATTTTTAAGACGTAAAAACAAATGAAGAGCGTTTTGCCTGGAACACAATTTGAACTAATTTGACATTCAAAAATATTTTTTTTAATAACGAAAAAGGTTATAATGGCATTGAAAGAATCTAGAAATCTATTAAATTTCAATTCTATAAAAAAAGAAAACATGGAAAATAATAATGAAATTCGGAAATCTCTAACTTTTTCAGGCTAGGTAGACTCAAAAGATCAGATAACACAAACATCACCTGATTGATTGATTGATGTAAAATAATAACAAAGAATGATGACTTTGTGCTGTTTAGTAAAATGTCTTTAAAAAGGCGTCGTAATAACATCGGTAATAGTTAGCTACTTATGAACTTAAACCTAGGTTTAAAGTAGCACCTAGATGCATATTATTTATGTCGTCCAACAAAAGTAGAGTATTCGTATTCCACCTCTTACTTTTCAAACAATTTTTTGTGTCTATTAGCGAACTTCGCTACATCCATCGCTTTCGCTTCTCCATCGCGGCGAGTCACGGACGATTTCGCTTGCCGCGATAGTGTAAACACGCTCTTTTTGTCCTAAGTGATCCGGCTCTGGTCAACGTTGATTTTTATATCGCATTATGGACCGTTCACACTGCAGTTTTTATAAATATGTACTTTTAGTTTAAAAAAATTAAAATAATCAAAAAACTAAGATGGATCATATTCATAAAGATACCTCTAGCGCCATCTAGTTTTTAATCACATAACTATAGTTATTAAGAATCTGAAAGTTATTGCAACTATCGTAATGTGACTGGATATTAGGATAATATTGAAATCAAAATTGATTTTATGGAGAACATTTTATTACATTTTCTAATATGTATACTGAACCATTCTACAAAATAATGAAAATACTTAAACAATTTAAAAAATAACTGTGACAAAAAATGTGCTTACTTATGTAAAAGTATTGGCACCTTGTGTAGGGTTATAAGGTGCACTTTCTAT